CTCTGTGCGGGGCAGGTGGCCTCTGGCGCCGTGCCTTCCCCGCCCGCGGGGTCTCGGAGCCCGCCGGGCAGGTTCGCGCTGCAGGCTGGCGTTTGCCCTTCGTGGGCCGTGCTTTCTGGAAAGCCGTCCTGAAATCTCTCCGCAGAGCTGTCGGCCTTGCGAGGGCAGCCACCGCCTCGCTGCGGGGAGGATTCCTGCGCGGGCCTCGGTTTCCCACCGGGAATAGGCGGGGGTTGACTCTCGGGCCTCCTAGAACCCCCCATCCCCCACCCCACCCAGCGCTTAAAAACAGCGCGAGTCTTCAGGGCTCCTGGGAAGAGAAGGGAAAATGGAGATGTAAAATGTCTACCCGTGGGGTTCTGTCTCCAGGCCCTGGGACAGCACGTCGTTCTGACAAGCCACCCCCCGGGGCACAGGGGGAAGATGACACAGCTTTCTCTGCCAGCCGGGCGGGCTTGGGTTTGCTTTGCTGTGACTCCGGCCTGGATGGAGACCTCATCCAGAGAGGAGTCTGGGGCCGGGGGTTCAATGCCGCAGATCGCCACCAAGGAGCCCAGCCCACAATATGGCTGATGAGTCTTGAGTATTATTTGCAGCTGACTTCTCTCTTTAGCTCTCTCGTTCTGTGTAGGGTAGGACCAGGAGCCCCGGTGGCATGGTGGGTAAAGCACTGGGCTGCTAACCCACCAGCCCCTCTGAGGGAGAAAGGAAGCCAGCCACTCCAGTAGAGATGGATAGCCTTTGCGATACCTAGGCCCAGTGGGGTTGGGCGGGTCTACCTAGCCCCAGGGAGTAGATCCATGGGATCAGCCCCGTGGGATCTTCTGGCTAAGATCAGACCATAGGTTTTCTGGGTTGGCCCCCAAGCCTGTTCCCTCAAATTCTGATGTGAGAAGGAGGAGGGGATGCTAATGAAGAAATATGAGCCCCACTGGGCTGACTGGGGACTGAGGTCTTGGGCCTCTGGCTTTATTTGCCCACACGCCCCCAGACTCAGCCCTGTGACAGGTAAGCCCCTTCAGCACTCAGGGAAAGTCATTTGGCCCCACCCTGCCCTGTCTGAGGGAGGTCCCTGTCCACCTTGGCTGTAGGCTGGTTGTTTCCCAGGCCGGCTTCCACCAGGAGGTTACCCGGTCTTGCATTCACCTGTGGAGAGTGAGGAGCTGAGAGTTGCCTAGTTGCTAATGAGTCTGCAGGTCTAAGGGTCCAGGGGTTGTGACTCTGCAAACTGTGTGTGCTCACGGGTCTTGTTTGGGGGTGGGGTGGGGGTGGGAATCCATTGATTAGTTTTCAAAGCTGTCTATGACTCCACTTTCAATGGCTGTAAGGACAGGGCCTTCTTCCTTGGAGACTGGGCCTCCTCCACTGATTTGTGCTTCATTTTCAAGCCTTGTTGTCATAGAGGTAAAGGGATCATAGAGGTAAAGGAAAAGCAGCCGTTGCCCAGCCATGGTTTGCAGGTGAGGACCTCAGGCAACTTGTATGGTAGACTGCTCACTTCTATGTGCCCTTGGGCAGGTGACTCAGCCTGTCTGAGCACCTGTCCTTATCTGCCAAGTGTGGATAATATTGCTAAAACTACCCACTGCGCGTGTTTGCTGTGAGCAGCCGTTGAGGGATACCCTTTAAAAAGGCACCTTTAAATGCTGAGTAGTTGGTCGCTCTGACCAGCATATTAATCCTCGCATTCAGTTAGCAGAGCTGTGGGATCATACTGTGCCCTGAGCCTGAGCCTGAACCTGAGTGAGGTCTTAACTCTTCAGCCTTCGGCTTCAAAGGAGGAGGATGCCTCTCAAACCACGCAATAGATGGAAGGAAGGAGGGCAGGCGGGAGGGGGGTCAGGATGGAAGGAAGGGGTGGGGAGGGAGGGAGGAAAACCAAGGAAGACAGGAATGAGGTGTGGGTGACTGTGCTGCGTGGCTACAGAAACATCGCTTACCTGGCCACCTGTTCTTTAGGCGCTCACCCATCGACTGTTCGTTCGCCCACGTCACGGATCCAGCTCAGACGATGGGTCACAGCGAGCTCCGAGGTCTGCTGGCTTCCCGGGAGCCAACAGGGCTTCCACTGACTGTGAACATCAGGCTGGGGGGGGAGTGGCTGGCCATCCAGCAAACTCACTGGAGGAGGGCCGGAGGACCCAGGCAGATGGTGGCTATTCAGTTCCGAGAAAGACATTGGTTGTCCAGACAGGTCCGCGCGGACAATCCTGGCCTCGCCGCCTCGATGATTGCCATGGATGTGGCAGGGGCGGGCAGCAAGGGCACAGGGAGTTGGATCGAAAGGAATGTGGGCCTGTGTTCTGGTCCTCGTCTCCACCAGTCTGGAGACCAGTAGCAAAATGGGCAGAATTGGCCCCTCTTGAAGGAGGAGCCAGGACCACCGACATCCATACCCTGGGGCATCCTGACGGCCTGTCGGAGCTGGACTCCTAGGTGAGGCTGAGCTGGGAGGCTTCACCTGTCGGCATACTCTCTTCTTCAAGTGCAGCTGGGCTGCTGACATTTGTAAGCCAACAGGTGTGAGCCAACAAGTCAAGCTTTGTAAGAGTTAAGAGCCTGGGAAGCTGGAGATAAGTTTGTATCTTTATTCTTGGACCCAAGTGGAGGCAAGATCCTGGGCAGAGGACCTGGAGGGTAGGGTCTCGATGTTGGGTGCCCCCTGCAGTCCCCTGGGTCTACGGCTACACCTTCCAGCCCGTGACCATCCAATTACAGCCTGGGACATTTCGAGCGTGTTGCTCTGTCAACACCCACAGATGGCTCCTTTCTTTGAGCACGCCGCTCTGCAGTTGGTGAGCTGCTGGCACCCTCATTTTGTGAATGGGACACTGAGACCAGAGGTTCTGGGACGGGGATGGAGGAGCGGGCAGAAGGAAGTGTGGCCAGGCCAAAAGCCCAGGTTCTAAGGCAGGTCCAGTGTCTTCCCCTCCCACTCAGTGCTCACAGGTGACCCTGGGAAATGCTTGCTCCAAGCAGGACAGATGGCAGCATCCAAACCCCAGGCCCCTGCTGTCGGTGGAATAAGGACCCTTAGCACTTTCTACGGCTGTGGCTCTTTATAGAATCACACTGCCACATCTTTCTCCCTCAGAGAGGCGGGGTGTGTGTGTGTGTGTCTCAAGAGGTCGGACTTCCAGCTAGCGGCTGAGCAACCAGGGCTCCTGGAAGGTAGAGGAACCACGTTGTTGTCGGTGTTAATGGTGGTTGGTGGTTTTGTCATTATGCCCCAGTCAGCGTGCCGCCCCCGATGACGTCTGAGGGTTGTCAGTGTGGCTACTTGCTGTTGGCACCGACCGAGCCTACGGGGACTTGCCTTCAGCCCCCTGCTTTCTTTCAAACCAGGTCCAGCAACTGGAGATGGAGACCCCCCAGCCAGCACCTCTGCCATTCCCCACCGTCCCTCCGGAAGAAACCCTGCGGTCCCGCGTGCTTCCCCCCAGAGAGAACCCGGCGTTGTCACCCACCATGCCCCGGCAAGGTGCCCTGCCCCAGACTCCTGGCGCCTCCAAGCAAGAGACCTCTGGCCGAATGCCACACTCGCTCCAGAAGGGACCGTCACCCCTCTTCCCTGCTGCCACTGGGCAGGAGACCCGTCTGCAGTGCCCCCCGGCTTCCCATGATGGAGTCCAGTCCCCGCCCCCCGTTGCTGCCGAGCCCCATTTCCCCATCCTCTCCCACCCCACCACCCACCAAGAGGCCCCACTCCACTCCCCGGAGGTGCCTGACAAGGACACCCTGACCCTCTCGCCTACCATCCCGGACAGCGACTTGGACCCCCTGCTCCAGAGTCCAGCCGCCGCCAAGGACAACCCCTTCCAGCTCTCGGCAACCACTCAGAAGGACACGCCACTGCCCACTGCCGAGATCACCCGCCTGGCCGTGTGGGCAGCTGTCCAGGCCGTGGAGAGGAAATTGGAGGCCCAGGCCATGAGGCTGCTGACCCTGGAGGGCAGGACGGGGACGAATGAGAAGAAGCTGGCTGAGTGTGAGAAGACGGCCGTGGAGTTTGCCAACCATCTGGAGAGCAAGTGGGTCGTGCTGGGCACGCTGCTGCAGGAGTACGGGCTGCTGCAGCGGCGGCTGGAGAACATGGAGAACCTGCTCAAGAACAGGAACTTCTGGATCCTGCGGCTGCCCCCGGGCAGCAACGGTGAGGTGCCCAAGGTATGTGTCCCCGGCAGGTTCCTGAGACGGCGTCTGGGCAGGAGTGTGTGGGGCAGGAACGTAGTTGGTGGGGACAAAGGGAATGGAGCGGTTGCCAAAGAGACAAAAAACCAAGACCGTTTCTCCCACTCTGGCGCCCACAGAGGTGCCTCTGCTCGGCCGTCGGGTCACCATGCAACTAAGCACAGGATTCCAAAGGAGATCCCTGAGGTCAGGGCCTGCCAGTCTAGACCACAAAGCAGCCCAGGGCGTGTGGCAAAGAAGGCCGGGGCCGGGGCCAGGGTTGGAGTGGTGACTCGGGGCCCTGCCTGCTCAGAGCTGCCCCAGCTGTCTTATCGTCCAGGCTAATGCCCCTGAAACTGTGGTGCGGAGTCTTGCAGAGAAACCAGAGCTGGCCATTAATGCTGTCTTCCAGGAAGTCCTGGTCCTCTCACAGCTGCACGCAGGACACGGCTGGTAACACGTGGCCTGTGTAACTCTGTGACAGCTTGTCGCCAAGTCCTCTCACCCGGCCCTGGGCCACAGACTCTCGTGTGCAGGGGCATCTCCTGGGGGCGCACTCAGTGCAGAATTGGATGTGGGAGGCTGAGCTCCTTGTGGGTGCTCCCACACCCTGGGAGCAGGACGAGGGGCCGCCAAGTCTGGAGCCTAGCAGGAGAGGTTCTGCTGGGGAAATGAAGGGCCCTTACAGGAGGGCCAGCACCAGGGTGGTCTATGGGGCGGAGGTTGACGTTGCCCCAAAGGTCTAAGGAGCCCACTCAAGGCCTGCACCACACCCTGCAGCATCCGTCCTTCTGTCCCGTGTATTAGGGAAGAGAGGGGGTGCAGCTTGGGTTCGGGGCGCTTGCTGTCAGCATGCGCCTCCACCTGCTGTCCTTCCTCTCACGGTCCCTCTCTCTCCTGTGCACTCCTTAACCCTAGAGGGACAGCCAAACTGGCTTCCAGACACTCACTTTCGGCGTCCCACCCCCGCAGGGTGTAGCTGCCCAGTCCCAGGGGGCCTCAGAGTGCCTTGTCTGTGCAGCCTCACTCGGGCATTTGCTGGCGAGGTGACCCTGATGGCTGGAAGGGGACGCCGGCTCTGGGACTGTCCCTGCTCTGTCTGTAGGGAGCTGCTGGAGCCAGCGCCAGGTGGCTGCCCTCGAGGGGGACTAAGGCCAGCTGTTGTCTGTGGTTCCAGGTGCCCGTGACCTTCGACGACGTGGCCGTCCATTTCTCGGAGCAGGAGTGGGGGAACCTGTCCGAGTGGCAGAAGGAGCTCTACAAGAACGTCATGAGGGGCAACTACGAATCTCTGGTCTCCATGGGTAAGGAGGGGCTTTGTCCCTGGCCGCGCGGACAGCACATGGAGGTGGATTGGGGGGTCGGAGGTGGGTTCTGAGCCCTTGCGGCACTTGGAAGTAGATTGGGCGGTGGGGGGCAGATTCTGAACCCTTCAGAGAGCACAGGTTATGGCAGACACTCTCACGCGGTCAGTGTGGCCCAGAGCAGACCCCAGTGTGTCGGGTCAGTCAGGCCTAGGCGTTGGCCCGGCCTGTGCTCTCTGTCCCTGTAGGCCCAGCTGCTTTATCATCTCCCAGCAAACTGTTGATTCGGGTAAGAAGAGCGAAGGGAAAGAAGCTCAGGCCCAGCAGGTGTGGTCACTGGAATGACCCCTGGCATTCTCTGAGGCCGTGTCTCCCCGCTGGTCCCAGGTCCCACCACCAGGAAGTTGCCGTCTCCCAGAAGTCTGTGGGTTCTCCTCCACTACGCCTTGTCTCCAGGGGCTTCACAAAGCTTGTGGGGATGCCGTTCCCTTCCAGTTCCGCCTGTCCACGAACATTCCGGAGCCCCTCGGGTTTCCATTTAGAGGTTTGAGGACAAAGGCCTGGGAAATGGGCTTTAGCTTCATCTGTGTCCATTTCTCTGCCACGGGGACTGAGAACAGGCAGGAGTCCCAGCATCAGAGGTCTGGCTTAGAGATGGGTGCCCACCAGACCTGTGCTCACCTTCCACACTTGCACCCTCTGTAGGCAGCCTCACCCTCTCTAGGGATACTTTCCTATGATTTTCTTATCCATCTCACACACGTAAAAAGCCAACGATGCAGATCTAAATAATAAAAAGTAGCCTCTCCACCGGAAGGGAGCCTCTGCCTCTTCCTGTCCTATCTCTGTGGGGCAGATGCGCGGGGGCATGTGGTGCCAGAAGTGGGGCCATCCTGCCTTCTTACTCGCCACCTTTCACAGGCGCCTCTGCCCAGGAGCGCTCAGAGGGAGACCTTCCGAGCCCGCCCCTGCACTGTGGCAGGGTGGCCACCGCACCCGTGACGAGCGCGGCCACCAGGCTCCAGTCAGAGAGCTTCCGGGCAGGGAGCTGCTAGATCCGGGAGGGCACATTGACAGTCTCAGGGCTGCCGCTGTGAGCCACCCCCACCCCCACCCCCGCGCCCCCCAGCATGCTGCCCCAATCGCTGCTTTCTCTTACACACTTGCCTCTGAGAGGTGGAAAGTGATGGCTCTGTGTCTTCCTGTCACTGAACTTGGTATCTCTTTTTCTATGTCTAGTGGCCAGTTATATTTCTATGAATGGCCTGCTCTCTTTGCTCCCTTTAGTTTTACTTGTAGAGCCTGTATGTACGAGGGGATACCAAAAAAACAAAACAAAATACCGGGAAAAAGCTCTACTGGGCAGAGTTTTTGCTAGGCAAGCATTAAGCACCCCCTCTGAGGTAGTGCACCCAGCAGTGTCACCTGGGAAGGTTCTCTCTGGTCACAGTGAATTTTTTCGTAAAAGCAGTTTCACTCGGATCTCAATTTTTGTGATGGCCAATTGAAGAGAACAGCACGCGGCTGTAAAATTTTGTTTCCTGCTCCGGGAAAATGCTGCAGCAACCGTTGTGATGTTGAACAGAGCTTACAAGGACAGCACTAAGGGAAAACTCAAGTGTAGGAGTGGTTTTCTCGTTTCAAAAGAGGTGAAATGTCGATTGATGACAAACCTCATTCTGGATGTCCGTCAACTTCCTGAATGGATGAAAATGTCAACAAAATTCATGCACTTGTGCTCAAAGACCAACGATGGACCATGAAGAGATAGGGAAGTTATCTGTGCTCTCTTGGAGCTCGGTTCAGCGAATTTTAATGGAAGATTTGGGAATGAGAAGGGTCACGGTGATATTTGTGCCTCGGGTTCCGACTGAACAGCAAGAAGAGCGAGTGGAAACATGCCATGCTTTGAAAGAACAGCTCTGAAGTGACACAGACTTTTCCCCCCAAGGTCATTACTGGTGACGAGACATGGTGCTATTCTTACGACCCCAGAAGCAAACATCAGTCGAGCCAGTGGAAGATGCTATGGTCACCTCGCCCCAAAACATCTCGTCAAGCGAAATCAAACATCAAGGCAATGCTTGTTTGTTCTTTTGACGTGAGGGTTGATAGCACATTTGGAGTTTGTTCCACCAGGTCAGACTGTTAATCAAGCTTTCTATTTAGAGGTTCTGGAAAGATTGTGGAACAGTGTGTGACAAAAAGGGCCTGATTTGTGGCAGATGGGGACAGTGCACCTACTCACGCAGCCATTTCAGTGTACCAGTTTTGGACAAAAAACCAACTTGCTCTTTTGCCCCACACACCTTACTCACCTGACCTTGCTCCGTGAGACTTCTTTTTGTTTCCATGAATGAAGAGGGACATGAAAGGACAGAGATTTGAGGACGTAGAAGAGGTGAAAAAAAACGAGGGAGGTGCTGTCAGCCATCCAAACAGATGAGTTCGAAAAAGTTTCCAAGAATGGAATCGCAGATTTGACAGATGCATTAAGTGGAATGGAGAGTATTTTGAAGGTGATAAGGTTGTTTTGTAAAAAAAAATTTAAATACTTAACTTTGGAAAAGGAAAGCGGGGAGGATTCTGTTTTGGGGGGACTCCTCTTTTATATGTGTATCTCACTGCCATCAGGGCAGCGCTGACTCTCAGGGACCCCGTGGTTTTCCAAGACTAACTGTGTGTGGGAGCAGAAAGCCCAGTCCCTCTCTCGTGGCTACTGGCCATCTGGATCTCAGCCCTCCGCTTAACCCCTGCGCCACCGGGCTCCATGCATCCACGTGTGTGCCTGTGTGTGGTGGGGGCGGTGTATGTAAGGATGTATTATGAGTCCTTGTGTGTGTGAGTGCGCACACGCGCATATCACCACTGTTTCAAGGTTTCTTCTTCAGTTTCATTTCTACAGAACTTAGAACTATTTTATGAAATGAAGCCCATCCCTGTTTTGTTTTATGGTTCCTAGGTTTGGTGTCAAGATTAATTTAGACTTTGTGAAATTCTCTGGTGCCTTTGCCATAAAACACTGAGTGGGCACTGGGCGCCTGCAAGCCAAGTCGCTCGAGCTGTGGATGCTGGACAAAGGCACCAGAGAATTCTTTTGAATTCCTTTGGGCAGGGCTGTCTGTCCCTGCCGGGAAGACATGGGATGTGGCATGCCACACACCACTCTAGGAAAACAGGCAGGGAAATGGACCCCTTTGGGCTCCAGCGCTGCCCACCCTGTGGAAGAGCCCGCTTCAGATCACAACCTCACAGCGGGTGCACGAGAGCATTTGTGACCTGGCCCCACAGTCTTTCTGTTTTCTGCCCAGACTATGCCATTTCCAAGCCAGACCTGATGTCACAGATGGAGCGAGGGGAGAGGCCAGCCACGCAGGAACCAGAGGACTCGGAGGAGGGCGAGCCACCTGCCGACCCCAGTGCTGGTGAGTGAGCGGCCGCCGGTCCAGGGCTCCGCAGTCTCCGTCTATCCCGTCTTCCAGACCCACGCCACCCTGAGGGGCCTTACAACCCAGGTGGGCTTTGGAGGGTCTGTTGGTCAGCTGTGTGCAGGAAGAAGGCTTGGGGGCTCCGTGGGCACTAGTGGCCCCGACAGGAGCTGTTGAGCTCGTCGTTTTAGGGACTCTGTGGTGTGACCGGCTCACCTGCTCCTCTCAGGAAACAAATAAGAAACTCAGAAAAGGGCAGTGACGTGCCTCCTGGAGCCCTCCACAAAGGCCCCATCCCCACGTGGCCCAGCTGGTCCAGGGAAGGTTCAGAGCCCCGACTTTACCTGGGAAATGCTGAGGTGATGCATACAGGACAGTGGCTGATGGGGTCAGCAAGGTGGGGACTAGGCACCCGGTGTGATGTAGCCAGGGCATAGACTCCAGGGTCCTGCGCTGGCCCGTAATCCCAGTGCCCACTAGCAGAGTGGTTCCAGCTGCCTCGGTGCCTCGCATCTGGGACTCCTCGTGTACAGCACAGGTTTGGGTCTGCCATTCGCCGGAGGCCCGGCTGGTCCCTGGCAGGGAACCCTGTGTCAGTAGGTTCATGGGGCTCATCCCTTGCAGTGGCCAGGTCAGCAGCCTCCCTGGGCCCGGTCAGTTGACAGAGGTCCTGCTCTGGAACTGCTTTTGGCCATGTATAGGTCTTGTCAAAGGTCGTCGAAGGCAGCACACCGTGGCCTTTGTGTGCAGCATCAGGAGGATCCCACCTGGGCCCAAGCACTGGATCTCACAGAGAAGTGATGTCCTCGATTTGGGACCGGGACACAGGCTGAAGTAGGAGCTCAGAACCACCTGGGCCCATATCAAGCCCACACTGTAGAGTGGAGTTGACCGACAGGAGAGTCGGATGCCCTACAGAAAAATAGGTGTTGGCATGCTTGTCGGGAAAAATCCAGGGACTCGCTTTCTTGACGATCTGTCAAAAAATCTAACCTATGGTCCTGATGGGAATGTGATGATGGGAAGGAGCAGGCTCCCTGCCAGGGCCTGCGCCCCTTCTCTCCTCGCTTCTCTTCTCCTGCCTCCTGCTCCCTGTAGAAGCCTGGCCTTTGTCCCTGACATTTCCCAGAGTGTGGTCCCTGTGATACCTTCCCGCATTCACACTGTGGCATCAGAATCCACCACCAATGGATGAACTGCACTCTGATCAATAGCAGCACAATGATTAAAATCTATATTCATATCAAAAAAAAAAAAAAATCTAACCTGAGAGACATGCTGGCTCTCCTAGCTGACAAAAAGATGTTGGCATGTTGGAGAGGAGGTGGGGAGAGGGTCCAAGGGGGCACGTGGCAGTGACCTCTGGTTCTGGAAGTGGACCCTGAAATTGGTGTTGGGGAAAGTTAAGAGACCGAGTTTGCACCCTTCCACCCCCCTCCCCCGACCCCCCACCTCTACTTGAGAATCCCGGATGAGCAGTCTCGAGCTAGCGGTGAAGGAGTGGCTGCAACAGGACTGGTTGGGCCTCAACTGAAGATGCTCCGCCCCTTCCCTTCTCACCTACCCAGCCCACGGGCCTCTCGTCAACCCTGACAGATGACCCACACTCCGAGCAAGGTTAAGGAGGATCTCTGGACATGGGGCCCAGGCAAAATGAAGGGTGGGGCTACCAACCTGAAGTGGGGCTGGGTGAAACGCCCTTCTGAATGTCAAGCTCTCCAGCTTCCTTCCCCAACCTGGACCCCAAAACAATGTTGCAAGAAGCCTTTTGGGCAGGGCGGCTCCGGGGACTTTGGGGACTAGCCCAGGAGGGTCTCAGGGCCCTCACCTGGCCACGTCATCCTGCTGGGAGTCCCAGAGTTAGCAAGCCCCACCCAAATGCTCGAACTCTCCTTTGTCTTTGGAACGCTGTACTTTTAACTATGGGCAAGGCAGAACTGCAAACTCTAATACACAGAAGAAGTACTGAATTTAGAGCAAGCAGAGACCATTCTTAGATGGGGGGAAAAGTACAAATACTTATATATATAATTAGAAGCAAGTGCATGTAATACTTAAATACATAATCCTTAGAGAGGAGTGAGTGTGTCCAAGACACAAAAGTATAGCACCTACTTAAGGAAAACAAACACAAAGGGGCTCTTGGAAATAAAAGAAAACTGGGAGGGAGAAGAAAATTAGAGATGGGTATCTAACATCCGAATAATAGAAGTTTCAGGGAAAAAAGGAGTAGCAACAGCAGAGGGGCTCATCCATGAAACCGCCCCCACATGGGCGTCTGACAAGCTGCCCAGGACGACGGACACACCCACCTGCTGGGCGCCTCAGCAAGAAAGCTCAGGCCGGGACAAGAAGAGTCCACCCCTTCTCAGGAGGACCGTCCAAGCCAAACAGGTTCCTGCGAAAGCAAGCAAGAACCGAATGGCTCTGGTCTGGTCCGCGGCATTGGAAGCTGAGGACAGTCGAGCAGTGCGCTCAGAACCCTAGTAGGAAATGCCTTCGGATCTCGAGTTCCGCTGGCAGCCAGGCTGTTTCCGAAGAAGGGTGAAAGTGGAAGGTCTGTCTCTCAGGCTGCGCTGAGCTGTGCCAGAAAGAGGAAGTGAAGTAACAAAAAGGAAGGTGTGGAGCGCAGGTGGTTCGCTCCTCACAAGAGAAGAGTGAAGGGGCCCCCAGGACAGCAGCAAAGAGGGGCCCAAGAAGATAGCTGAGTATGCAGAGACAGCCACTTTAGATTAGACTGCATCAAAAGCTCCAGAAAAGTTACCTTCAAGAAGAAGTTCGTACCTGGGGACTGCCCAGGTCAACTGGCATAGCATAGTACCTAAAGTTAATGTCCTCTATCTTTGGGTGGTGGATCATGTCTAGACCCTCAGAAGCTTTTTGAGTGGCTGCCCCAGATACACCTATGGGTCTCTTCTTGTCTGGACCAAAGGAGAGGGAGGAGAACCCAAGATTCCAGAAGCAATTAGTTCACAGGACTAATGACCCCCACAAACCACTAGCCTGAACCCACAAGAACCAGAAGGTTGCCTGCCTACCGCTGTCATCTGCTCTGACCCAGGGACACATAGAAGGCCCCAGTTACAGTGGGAGAACAAGCTCAGATTCCTCAAAAGGACCACATTTACTTGACTGAGTAAAGACTGGAGGAGCTACCATGCCCATCACCCTCAGACACCTTTTAACCTAAAACCGAAGCCACTCCTGGCGGTCACCTTTCGCCTGTATCATAAAGGACAGCCATGCGGAGTGTGTCCCTTAGAACAGCCAGCTCTACGAGACACAGTGGGCAAAGATGAGAAGACAAGGAGGGTGGGCACTGGGAAGGGTATGGACACGCTGCAGGAAGAGCAACATCGCACGGATCGTCAGAGTGGGAGACTGATCTACAGTGTAAACCTTCACCTAAAGCACAGTAAAAGATTATTTGTTAAAAAGGAGGGAGATGAAATCACTAGAGTGCCCGATACATTTGAATATTTTCAGGTAAGAGTTCCGCAGCAGGAGAGGTGGGAAAGAAGGTTAGAATTGGAGACGTGCAGCTCGAATGGTGGTGGGACTTTGGGTATGTGATCAGGAGGGAACCAGTTCCTAAAGAGGGACACTGTATGTGGAAAAGTATAGACTGAGAGAAAAAGAGGAAGCCCCTCCATGAGGCGAAGCCGCAGCAATGGCTTTAGTATCGCAACACTTGTGAGGACGGCCTGAGACCGGGCAGTGTGTGCTTGTGTTGTTTGTAAGGCTGCCGTGAATCAACCCCCCAGATGGTACCATACAACAGCAAGGGAAGAAGAAACAGCTCTCGGGAAAGGCTTAGAAGCATGGGAAGTACTTACAGTATACTCCAGCGTCTAATGCACATATCTGGTATTGATCCACAATCACAACACACTACGTTGGAAGCATCAGGTGTTTGAAAGGCTATGGTGAGATGGCTGGAAATCAGTCGATGCGGCTTAAAATTGGAAGATCCAGGAGGAGTTGCAATGGAAGTCCGTTTACGCGCTGGAGGTCACAGAGGAAGGACTCACTGCCCCTGGGCCACGGAGCTGGGAGCTGTGGCGCAGAACTGGTTTTAAAAAACTGCTCTCAAACTGACCAACCACTGGCCTCTGCATGTATAACGTCACCCAAAAAGACTTAAAAATACACCATTACAAACAAGAAAGTCTTAACAGGAAGTTTCCCCAAGAGTTCTTGGTCTGGAAGCCCCTCTGAAGCCTGTTCACGTTGAGTGACCTCGCTGGTATTTGAAATGCTGGACACAGCTTCCTGCGTCACAGCAACACAAGCCACCACAGAAGGACAAACTGACAAGACAGGTGGTGGTTGAGCCTCTGAGCTTTTCAAAAGCCCTGTGAGCATATGCCATGTGTCCGGTGCTGCTGCCTGGTAAGTGCTGAACTGAGAACCACGAGGCTGACCCTTGGAACCCCCACCAGTTCCACAGGAGAAAGAGGAGGGTGTCTGGCCCTTGGACACCCTGTGCAGGGTCGCTGTGACCAGATTCCACTAAAGACAATGGGGTTGGTTTGGAGGAGGGGCATGCAAGCCGTTCGTGCTGGGCTGCTAACCACAAGGTCAAGCCCACCTGCCGCACTGGTTAGTTGTTAAATTGCTCACTAATTCAGTGCTCTTAGGATAGCTCTCCCCGCCTCAGACGTAGTCTCATGAACCAGTGTGAATACTGATGCAAATGAGGTTGGCATTTGAAAGTCGTGGACTGGCAGTTTTGCCACCCACGCCCCCAAGTGACAAGAAGGCTCTGTGCACACACAGCCAGCTTAAGGACAACAGTTTTCGGACCTCTGTCCACATGCAACCATTCACTCAACTCGTTGTCTTGAGTGGTCACATGCACTGGGAACCCGGACTCTCGGGCCTTCTAGAACCATCTCCTGCCTGTGTCTGCCTTTCTCCAAAATAGAAAACTCAAGGCCACTAAGCAAGCAGCCAACCCCAATGTGGGGGCAGATTCCCAGTGTCGCAGGTGACAG